AGCACGTGACGATGTCTGCGTTCCACCAAACCATTCTGCTGGGACACTACTGGGCATGATTGATGTGAAACAATACCATGTTCACGATAGAAATCCATCAAAGGATTCGAGATGAATTCCCCTCCCGGATATGAGCGAATAATCTTGATAGTATTCGCAAATTGAGTATAAATTAATTGTACTAAGGGTTAGCATGATCAATTAATCCGGACCTACGTATTAGGAAATAAATCCATGCAAATCACGTAGCATGATTAATAAACAACGCGAAATACTTTTAACCCATACCAGATGTAACAAGTGAAGGGCCCCATAAGAAAAATTAGAAAAATAATTTGAAATTTGCATTTTTTTAATGATTTTTAGGCTGACTAGGCAATGACATGGCGTGTTGACTGACGGTCAACGGAGTTGACCGTCCAAATTGACGGTCAAACTATGTGTCGGGCCAATTGAGTCTATATGCTGCATAGTTGAGGCCAGGATGTTAATTTCTGAAACCACGGGCCAAAGTTGATTATATGGTCATAGTTCGGGCCAAAATAAGGTATTAACCCTAGAAGAAATGGAATAGAACATAACTTGTTCCAGAAAGACTACATGACAAGAGATGCGCATGCGACGTTCACAAGGATTGTAGCACAAATATCCCTTGTGACGATCACTGTACCCCATAAAAACACATCGAGCTATCTTGGATTCCAGCTTATGGAGATCTTTCTTATGAAGCAGAACAAAGCAAACACAACTGAATACGTGCAGCCATGAGTAATGTGACTGTTTGGAGTAGAGACAAAAATAAGGGCTTCGATCCTAGAGTGTCAAAGTAATCTGCAGATTAATCAGGTATACCACAACATTAATAGCTTCCACCCAAAAACCACCAGGCACCTGTGACAAAAGAAGAAGAGCTTTAGCTCTAGCACGTGACGATGTCTGCGTTCCACCAAACCATTCTGCTGGGACACTACTGGGCATGATTGATGTGAAACAATACCATGTTCACGATAGAAATCCATCAAAGGATTCGAGATGAATTCCCCTCCCGGATATGAGCGAATAATCTTGATAGTATTCGCAAATTGAGTATAAATTAATTGTACTAAGGGTTAGCATGATCAATTAATCCGGACCTACGTCTTAGGAAATAAATCCATGCAAATCACGTAGCATGATTAATAAACAACGCGAAATACTTTTAACCCATACCAGATGTAACAAGTGAAGGGCCCCATAGATCTGTATGAACCAAATCGGACGATGATCATACATCGTGTCACTCAAAGGAAAAGAAGACTGTGAGGTTTTGGCTTCAATGTAGTTAACACGAGAGGGCTAGGTGAAACGAGACCCTACAGAATCAGGTAATAAATTGCGACTAAACATAATGACCACGTGAGCATTTTGAGGATTTCTAAGACGACGGTGTCATAAATCCCCAGCCGACATGCGTACATGAAAATCCAAAGAGTTTAAAGGCCAAAGAATCACAAGTCTCAACAACTGTGTCTGAACTAGATTCCTTATCTCAAAACAAATATATCCTTTTCAAACAAATCGTCATCTTTAGGAAGCAAGTCACCACCAACTGCAACAACCACTTTGCCAGAAGAGGGCAGGGTAACCACGTCCTTGTTCACCCAAAAATAAGATTCCCTTTGTCTATGAGCTTGGACAACAATATTACTGAAGAACAAATGCTCGACCATCTTTTTTACCCTTGCCCATAGGGGTGGGCATTCGGTTCAGGTTCACTCTTCCAAACCAACCCAAACTGACACTAAACCGACTAAAGCCAAATTTCATCCTAATTGGTTCAAAACTCGGAAGGAAAATGGCTTAATTAGAAAACCAGGGTTTTCCCAACATGAACCCGAATTCCAATCACCCAAGAAATATGTCTAAAGTTCTTTAAATGTTCAGCATTAGAGATCTTAGGAATAAGGGAGACAGCTGTAGAATTAACTCCACTAGAAAGGTTACCTCTATAAAAGAAGTCCAGCACCCCCTTGGTAATATTCATCATCACATCAAAATTCAGTTTATTTATGTTTTACAATTAAGCAGAGATGGCTTTGTTCATATTAAGGAATAAACATGTCACTCAGAATTATTCATTTACTTTTATATTTCTTGACATTTCGGTATATATCGATTCCAATACTGTAATCTCAATCGAATAACACTCGAAAATCATTCCCAATCCTAATAAATAATCCAATAATATCAAATACTAAATTATCTGTTTGGATACGAACTAAATATGATATTTGGATTTGTCCAAATATATGGGGTGAATTTCAAATACAAATCTAGTGTATTACTTGTGAATTTCAAATATAAATCTAGTGTATTACTTAGTGATTTTCGTCTAAACGAAAATCATATGGACCTAAAATTCTCATTGCTACGTGGAAGCTCAATTAACAGGAGGTTTCATTCCCATTGTCATTCGCAATTTCCAAATCACAATCCCTAGCACAGTAGTCTGCATTATATGCTCAAAAGGATGTTACAAAATTCATCTGAAACTCGCAAGGCCTAACTACGGCAGCAAAGCAATCTACTACAACTTGCAAAAAACTCTATGTTACTGTATCTGTATGGACTCTAGTCGGATCTTCCGATGCGCTTCAGCAGATAAGGCCCATTTACTACGAACAAAACAGCCCATTCAAAATTACCAAAAAACAAAAAGGCCCATTCCAACTTCGCGTCGTCGTTCTTCCCTCTTTTCCACTTACACCTCTGCTACCGGAGACTCGTCGTCGTCGCCGCCGTCATTGCTTCCACCTGTAAAATCAGGTGGCGGGGAACGCGTTCTTCGACTGGGGGAGCGTGATCGGTGGCGGATAGTGCTGGAAGGCCCCGGTTGTCCTGTTTCGGAGTTGGCGGCGGAAGGGCCAGGCTGATGAGGGGGTGAGGCCACCACGGGGTCAGCAAGAGCCTGATGTTCTTGCTCAATTGGTTGCTCTACTGCAAGAGGAGAAACAGGGCCGCCGCCGGCGCCTCCTTGATGTGCTATTAGCTGCTCCACCTCGTCGTGTTCCTCCTGCTCAATCAGTTGCTCTGCTGCAAGAGGAGCCGCGGGGCCGCCGCCGCCTCCTTGCTCTGCTATTTGCTGCTCCACCTCATTGTGTTCCTGCTCTGGTTGCTCTACTTCTCCGGAAAACGTCGCCGCCGACGCTATAGCTCCAGCTATGCTACTCGATCCCCCTTGCTGACTACTGTTGCCGCTACCAATTGGCTGCTGCAATCCATTCCCGATCGGCTGTTGCAATCCATTCCCATTTGGCTGCTGCAATTCATTTCCATTTGGCTGATCTACTTCTCCTTGCACGACATTCACTGCCCCTTGCGGATTGTTCCCGTTGCCTATTGGCTGGTCAACTTCTTCCCCTCCAGACGACGACTCTGCCGCCGTTGTAGATAGATCAAAGTTGATCAAAAACAGCGTCCTCAGGGGATCCAAATCTTGCGGCTGCTCTGATTCTCCCATTGGATGTTCCCAATTCTTGAAGACGAGATAATCGAGCTTGATGATGTGATCTTCTTTATCCTCTGTTTCCCGATTCTCTACTTTTCCCTCCGGAGGTTCGCCATACAAAGATACTCTGACGATCGGTTCTTCATTGGATGATTCGTCGTCTTTACCGCTCGGTTCAGTGGATGGCTCGTCTCCGGCGGACGGGTTTTCGAGACCATCGATTGGATCTTCGTCGGCGGCGGATGCTTCTCCATCAGATGCTATTCGTTGTGTCGCCGCTCCCAATGGCGCCAAGAGCTGCCTCTTCGGATCTTCTTGCTCGCTTTTATTGGGATTCCCGGTTATCACGAAACTGCGGCTCCATCCCTCTGCTATATCCGGTATTGCCGCCGCCGGTAACTTCAAGAACAGGCGCTTCGGATCTTGTTGCTCATTTTTATGATTCCCAATTGGCTGCTGTACTTCTCCTTCCAACGCATCCGCCGCCGTCATAGATCTTTCGACGCCGATCAACCCCCGGCGGACAGAAACGCAAACCGAATCTTGCGGCTGCTCTAATTCTTCCGGTTGCTCGTTATTGCGGTTTCCAATTGGCTGGTATACTACTCCGTCAGTTGTTTCTTCATCTCCGGTGGCTGGCTCGTCTACGGTGGATGGTTCTTCCTCTCTGTTGGATGGCTCCTCGTCTCCATCGGGCGTTTCTTCGTCTACGGCGAATTGTTCTCCGTCGTCATAAAATCGCTCTTCGTTTCCATCGGATTCATCAGGGCTCGGCGGCCGCCCCGTAACATAAAAGCAGATGGCGATGAAGACTCCCATCATTGAAACGCGGGAGAAGTACTGGAGCGATGGATCGGAATCAAGAAAGTAACGGCGGAGAAAGGGATTAGGAATCAGGGTGAGAAGAAAGAAAGAAAGAAAAAAACTGAACTTGGAAATACAGAAAGGAAATGAGCAATCAAGAAAGCGCAATGGAGACTCACCGAGAAAGGCATTTTGTGAATTCTCGGAGTCGGGGAATCCACAGAGAAACGACGGAAACGAAATCGGAGAACGCCAAACGAAGGGAAGGGCAACTGAATCGTCTTCTTGAGTGCTGAAAGAAACAATGGAGTTTGTAGAGAGATAGGCTGAAGAAGACGGTTATGGTTTTCTCTCTCTAGTCTCTACAGATTGCTTGGAATTTTTCTGCTGTGAAGTGGAGAAAGAAAAAGGGGGAGCGGAGAAGAGCAGAGCAATTTATGCTGGGATGGATTCTGTTTCAAACAGCTAGAGAGTGGCGCGCAATGGGTCACATATCGGTTAATTCCGATGAAGCTAAACACGGCCCAATTTAGCTCTCGAGCCCAATGTAGAAGCCCAATCTATTTCCTTCAGTCTTTTCTGTTCCCTCCGCCTTGAACGTCAAACCAGCGAAAACCCTCGGGAACAAATTACAGACGAGACGACGATTGGCGATGACAATGGCGAAATTCCCTTCCCTGTCGGTCCCGTCACCGTACGTCAGTCTCCAGGAAGCGGCTGTGGACGAATTCAAGCCAACGGTGCAAATTTGGAATCGTCCTTCTTCTCCGGGTATGCTCTCTGCGTTTCTCCCCTTTTACCTTGCTGTCACTGATTTTGAATAGCCTCATGGAAGCTTGGTGTTTGATTTTGGGTCTCATAAATCGTGGTGCCGCCATGCCTAGATACATAGAGACGAGGGGAATGAATTGGAAGCTGACGCCCCAATTGCTTACTGATTGGAAATTTGCATATTCTTCGGTTTTTCAGAATGAAAATGACGGGTAAGTCCAAGTAGAGTTAAGTTGGTTCTTTTATGGAAATGTTTCCCCAGCGGCTGTGGATTTGTGGCCTTGGCCGCTGTCCGGGTAGTCAATTCCATATTGCCTCACATTTTTCAGTAACATTGATCGCATCATTGTGTATCTAGAATGTTAGCAGTCTGCTAGTTAATCGCAGTCCTACGGTGGGATTTAAGCGACAGTTGATCGGATAAGTGGGGACGTGTGATTGATACAGCAAATTTGTCCGTGGCTCCATGTCGACTGCCTGTAAAAGTATATGCATCTTTCTACGCATAACCATGATATATGCTCGTAGCTCGGCAGCCTGGTTCCTGCTTCGTGTCTAGTTTTCGCCTTTGTTATATTTTCAGCCGCACTGTTTGCATTCATTGGCCGAAGAACATATTTTGCTTGCTGAAGCTACTAGTGACCTCAAAATATCAGAATGTGATGCTTTCAAGGAATTGATATCTCATAATATGCTCAACAGGATATTGAGTCAAATATGCTTTCATTGATGTTCTCTGCCCCACCGAGAACAACCTCACAAGGTTGAGTTTGATATGAGGAGTCTGGACATTGCAGAGTGAATCTTCATGCGGGATACCAATGTTCATCCACCCCTGAACCAAGCAAAAATGAAAGGTCCCAAGTATGTAAGGTTGTTTCATCGCGAAACTCAGAATACATTGGTTTACCCTTTCATCCCTAAATAGAAGGTAACTGCGAGTTCCCTAAACCTATGCCAGTTTGCGGCTAGCCCTCCTTTTGCTCACATATGAAGTGCATGACAGGTTTTCCATAGTCCTGGATTACAAAGCATCAATCACGTGTTGGCAGCCGTGTAATGCGAGAGGACCCAGGGTAGAGTGAATCTTCATGCGGGATACCAATGTTCATCCATCCCTGAAACAAGCAAAAATGAAAGGTCCCAAGTATGTAAGGTTGTTTCATCGCGAAACTCAGAATACATCGGTTTACCCTATCATCCCAAAATAGAAGGTAACTGCGATTTCCCTAAACCTATGCCAATTTGTGGCTAGCCCTCCTTTTGCTCAAATATGAAGTGCATGACAGGTTTTCCATAGTCCTGGATTACGAAGCATCAATCACGTGTTGGCAGCTGGGCCGTGTAATGCGAGAGGACCCAGGGTAGGATTCGAGTGGTGGGAACCTCCTTGACAAGAAACCTAATGCTCGCTCTTCCTCCGTCTCCAGGAAGTGGTTGACTAAGGAAGTGGAAAGATATTGAATTTGGTGTTTGTTTTGGCACTGAAATGAATGTTGGTTTTAAAGGTGAAGAGAATCACCCTGCTCTTTAAGAAAAGGTAATTTTCGACTTCCCTTATTTGGATTGGTCACTTTGCTAAGTAGTTCTTAGTAGGAATTCCATAGAGAAGTGTTTCTGTTGGAAATTCCTTTTCGCAAAGTTTCCCCTGTGGCTGTGGTCAGTTACAAATTTCCTCACACTTGTAGAATAGAATGGAGTGTGTTAGCATTTAGCTTAGCAGTGTGCTGGTTGCATGGATTGATTCATACGGTGGGCGGTGGGGTTTAAGCGACAGTCGATCAAATAAGTGGGAATGTGATTTATAGAGCAACGTTGCGTGTGGCTCCGTATTGCCAATTGCCTGTACTGATGCTATGGTGTAGCCCTATCGTTATAATTCTGTTCCCCATCCATATGCTCTTAGCTCCGCCTACTGCCTGGTTCCTGCTTCATGTTTAGAGTTCACTTTTCTCATATTGGTTAGCTGCCACAGTTTGCATTCATGGCTAAATAACTTATGTTGCTTGCTGAGGCTAATTGATTTGACATCGATGAGCACGGAACATATACCATCTCTCTATAGATTGATGTGTTATCATTTTGATGCTGGTGGACAGGTGGCCAATTGAACCAGTTTAGGACCAATTGCAAGTTTCTTTGCCCTGCTGAAAACATCCCTCAGAAGATCGCGGTGGATCTAGAGCAATCTGGCTGGACATTAGAGAGCGAATATGCATGTGAGTTCGATGTTGGTCCATCGCTGAAGCATCCAAGTAAGGATGAGATCTCTCCCCTGCATGTAAGGTTGTTTCGACACAAACTTAAAGATTACATCACCTAACCCTGTAGACTGGAGTCCCTAAATGGAAGCTAAGTGCAGTTTCCTTAAACCTGTGTCAATTTGCTGCTACCCTCCTTGTTCACATATGAAGTGCATGACAGAATTTTCATAGCGATCAATCACTCATTTCATTTTTCAATTCAAACATAAGGTCGCATAAAAGAGAAACTATATCATAGTCTCATTACTGAAATTCAACCGGAAACGCAGAAGAGTGGAAATAAAGGAGCCGGGGAAATGAAACCAGCACGACCAATAACGATGGTCGATGGCCTATCTGGGTATGTCACGCCACAAAAAAAAAACAATAATTTTGTGTCACTTTAGTATTCTTGTGTTAAACCATGTCCAGTCTTGAGGTGGGCCGGGTTTGTAGTGAGCTAGGAGAAAAAGCCCAGACGCTTAGTGGGGTAGATTGGAGTTTTGTGGGCTGAGATGCAAACCGGCCAGTACATATCATGGCCCATACGGAGTGCAGATGGGAAGAAGAGGAGTTGTGGGTGAATAGATCACCAGTTTTTTTTGCTCTTATTTGGAAGATGATTCCATGTCATCAAACTCTTTTGATTAATAAAAATTAGCTGATATGTTTATAAATAAAATTTGTTTAAGAATAATGTAGTCTATTTTGAATATATGGTTCAGTGTTTATTATGTGTGTACTGTGTAGCCTTTATAATATATTTTTTTATAAAGTAAAGATTCATTATTGATTTTTTTTAACGATCGTGCCCAGGATACACCTATAATTTGGAGAAAACGATTATCCAATCTCGATAGTAGTTTGTGTATGGATAATAAAAAAAAAGATATATAAGGGGTAGACTAAGTGATTTGAACTTCGGACACTACTATTATTGGTAAACATGTTTTTCATTAGGCTACAACTCATTTGTTAATGTATTTTAAACACAAGGCTAATAGTAAAAATACTATTCTCTTTCCCCATTATTATCAAAATCTAAAAATTAAACCTATTATTCCCATAATTCTATCATATCAATTAGTTTACTTGCTTCTTAAAGTTATTGATTTTATCGATTGCAACTGCAAGTGTTGAAAATACATTTTCAGCTTGGGATACTTTAAGAACAAGTTTCGGAGGTTCCTGAATGATTGTGTAGTAAGATAGAGAGATTTATTGAGCCTTGTAGACACCGAGTGTATTTTATAACTTTTTTAGAATATAAAAACACGTAACTTGTACTAGTTAGATATTTTCTTATTTAAAAATTATTCAATTATTAATTTAACTCTTGAAAGAGGACACTCTTGTATTTTATCTCTGGATCCGTCACTGCCGGTTATACCACTAAAATATGAACTACTCGCAATGTCAAGTTTATACTTCACTCGGTGCTGTGTTCTAATGAGACAAGAATCATTCATTCTTGACATCTCAAACTATTTTGGAATGGTTCATCCTGAAAGTGCGAAAAAAATCTGTTACCACGAGTTTTATAACTTGTGCAACGAGTTTTGCTATCTCCTTCTCCTCCCCAAGGTTCTAGAATCGTTCATTATCATACAACTATTTGGGGGAGAAAAATCGACAAAATCTTAGGGGTGGGCTCACCATATCCTCTGAATCTCATTTTGGTGCCATGTCCTAGCGTTGGATTAGTTTTCATTACTTTTGAATTGAAAGGACGAAACCCTTTTAGAAAATAGTATCAAAGCTAAGAGCTTTGATTGGTTGAGTGTCAGGCTGAGATTTCTCAGGTTTGTTAATTTGGGTTAGGAACATTTCATAAAATTATTAGTATTATTAGTATAATTAATCGGCGAGTAGACTTAAGGGGTCTAGACAGGTACGGGCGGGTCTACCGTAGGTTTGCTGCACCCCCATTTTTCAATTGGTAGTTTTCAGTTTGATTTCAAAGCGAATCGTAACTCAACCCGCTGCAACAACCATTGATCGACTGATTCGACTCCTTGATTTCGTTTTCTCTTACTCGATGAGCTCATACCTGAAGCATCAAGTTCCCACTGAAAAATTTTAGGGAGCACCGGTTTGGGGTTTTGGTGGTGAAGAGGGATCAATATTGCAGGTTCAGGAAAGCTATGAGCAATTAGTACTGGGATGGTCGAATGTGAAATGCCCATCCATTTTCATCACTTACTTTAGATTATTCTCACATTAGCTTTTTTTCCCCTTCTCTTTGCCCGGAGCTCCAGCTGTTGCCCAGTGATTCCTTTCATATGTGTGCATGAGTTACAAATGTATGTGTTTGCACACTAACAAAGACCAACAAGTTGATATATGAAGTATAAGCTTTTGTTTCTTTTTTTTTTTCTGTATGAGAGAGTTAATAAAAACTATGAATGTGTGTATGCATAATTCACAATATAACTTTGAAGAATATGAAAGGATCATCAAATTAGCTAGGTTAATGTATACTAATTCTCTAACCACTACACAACTTCATATGTATTGTTGGGCATGCGACTCGGACCAAGCCGCACCAGAGAAGCGCACCGACATTACCCCAGTGGCTGCCAGACCCGCCCGTGCGCGCGACACAACGCGAAGACACCGGCGCGGCTCAGCGCAAAGACCTCGAGCGCGTTACGGGTCACGCGCATGTAGAGAGGTTGAAGCGCGGATCAGACCAAAGAGCCGCAGAAAGCGTCGTCGCGCTTTCCTAGAGGTAGTCACATCAAGGGGCCTAGGTACAATCATAGGTAAACCTCTGACATGTCCTAGGTAGAGGCATGGCCTAAATCCCTGACATGTCAGTGGTCATGTCGTCGTACCATCTTGTAATCCAACCACTCACTCACCACCATGTAGTCTATAAATATGGCATTTACTCCGGTGGGTGAGGGGATCGCATTTTTCACTCTCTCACTCTACTACTAAGAACTTTCTCTCTCTAAAAGCTCTGGTATCTCAAACCTTCCTATTGTTTACTCTTCCCACCCCTTTCTCACGAGTCTACCTCCTACCCTCAGTTGGACTCAAACATGTATTTTTATTAAATATTGACAAAGATTCTACCCAAAATTAAGGGTAAAGATTGTATTTTCTTACGGTTTGTAAGTGTACAAAGTTCAAACACCACTTATTTATAAACATAAATATAGCCAAGTACAATATGGTCTAATCAATAATTATTTAGAAAATACCAACTCTACTGTTATATATTCAACTATTCAATCTAAGTTCATGTTGTATAAATATAAGTTTTAGTTATTTAACTCAAGATTATATCAAACGAAGTCTAAAGGGACTGAGAAGTTGATTACGATTCTAAGTACACCAATATATTTTTTAACATTAACTGATCGATTTATTTTCAATAACCCGCCGCAGAGCGCCAGCCAAATTTCTAGTCATATATTAAAAGAACAAGTGTATTTTGGTCGAGTTTTTCAACATATTAACTAACAAGCTCCTCTTCTGTACACTACATCTCCTGTTGTTCCTCACGACCATCTCCACTTGCAAAAAGCTAGAAAAAACAATGGAGAGAAAAAGAAACAAAGAACAATAGAAATGTGGGCTTTTTTTTTTTTTTTTTTTTGCTTGGCAAACATCTCTTAATTGTTGATGGAGTGGCCAACTCCCGGGCTATGGCCCCTCATGGTTGGTCGGAAATCATCCACATTGTAATCCATCTTCCTCTCCACGCCGCCGTCCGCCGCCACCTTCCCTCCATTTAGTTTGGACGTCACATTGGTAGAAGGATAATATTGCTTCCCGGCGGCGCCACTCTTTACCGACGTTGGGTGGTTGTGGTGGCTATTCCTCGGCCGCCTCAAATGCCTGCCTTCCACACACATAAATGTATGGTTACCTGACATAACAAGGAAGATTAGAAGGACACAAACTGCTATTTCTCTGTTGATCGCCATGCTATGAAAGGTGCCAAGTTACAAAAGAAGACACTGAAGAAGGAATCTATGTCTCTCTTTCTATCACTCAAATAGGCCTCTCATGACCCTTCTCCTCAATTAGTCATGTGGTATTTATAGTACTATTGGATAGGGGGTGTCAATTTGGGTTCGGTTTTTTCGGTTTTAACCGGACCCAAATCGATAAGATGTAGTATTGAGTTTTCGATTTCGATTCTGTTTCGAGTTCGGGTTTTCGATTTTTTAGGTTTTATTGTTGGTTTCGGTTTCGGGTTTAGCTAAAATTCTGAAGGCATATCAACTTTTCATATTTCCATAGTGTGTATTGGTCTTCGGGTTTTGATTTTGCCTTACCCGAACTCACCCTACTATTGGATGGCCAAGGGGAAAATTTTTTTTAAGCAAAATCATTATTCCATCTTATGTCGCCTTGTCTATTTTTTAAATGGTGAAACATGGTACAACGGGGTTTGGTTACACTGTACAGGTATATTTGTTTGTTTGATTTGAAAGAGGACAGAAGCATGTGTAAGGGAACATGCTAGTGGAGGTCAAGAGAGATTCTTGTATGAGATGCAATTTTTAGTTTTGATGGTTTGTATGATATGGTTAATGGCAACCTATCATAGGGTGATGGAACTATTTGAAGAGATGAAAGCCCCAAAAGGTTGAAAGGAGAAAAAGGAAAAGGAAGAGAATGGGGGAAGAGAGGTGGCTTAGCTAAGCTTGGCTTATAGCCATCCAAGGTTATGTGCTCGTTGTCCCTATATTCTATTTGCCTTGCCTCCATGGCCCATTGCATTTTGGGAGAAACTGAAAAGTTTTCAACTTTCCCATTGTTTAGATATTGCATTATTTGTTCCCTTTGCTCTAGGGTAGAAATTTCGAGCGAGGCTATACATAAAGTTTCAGAGATTTGAAATATGATAATATTGAACTTTTGCAAATTTCCTCATGTACTAAATTTTGGTTTCAATTTTACAAATATTTTTAATTATAGATTGCTAGAAAGTGAATATCGCGTGATCACAGTGAAGGAGTTTTATATCAATGATTAAAGGCCCGTTTGTTAATTTGTTGTGCGAAAGTTTAGATTATATGTTATTGATGAATTTACCGGTTGAAAAATGCATAGTAGAGCAAACCACATAAAATAGGGAAAATGGCGCATCTAGCATTTATATTAGGATTCATAGTTGTTCATGGGTTGAGTAGCATGTTAGCAAATCATATAAATAGACATTTTCTTCGAAAGGAGGATGGTATCCCAATGATGAAGACTGTGCAACAACACTGCGAAAATAAACATTCTTCTGTCGAGATCCATCATCTTTCTTAAGTAGAAAAGTTCTTTTGAAAAAGTAGATGAAGCACGTTGAAAACAATTTTTGCTAAAGAAAACCCTGAGATGAGCGAGCAATGCGAGTAAACATAAAACCATTTCTTTGAGTTGAGATCTATTGTCGTTTTCAATTCGAGAAGTGTGTGGGGAGAATGCATGTAAACAACCTAGACATGGTTTTTCAAGGAAGAGTAGGAAGTAAAAGACTGATTTTGACTATTGTGAAGATAAATAGTTTAAGTTCAGGATCCACTGTGATTATTAAATAGAACAGTGTTAAGAAATCCCAAAAACTTGTCAAGATCATCGCCATTTAAATTGAGGAGCAATGAAAGAAAATATATGCAATAGAAGGCTGGGACTTACAATGAGACTTTTTGGCAAGCAAACCATGTTTTCTAGATAAGATGACTTTTAAATATTGAAGATAATGTCACCACGAAGATAATGGTATTGTTCAATCATCATCCTCAAATTGGAAAATTCATCTTAAAAACATATGTAATAAGGATAGAAACATGTGCAAAGAAAGATGACTATATAGTTGGAGTAATCTACATCTTCTAATTGATAAGAAATTAGGGGAAAAAATATGCAATAACGGTTCCAAAAATAATTTTATTGCGGAAAAAATGCCGAGTGCACAAAAATACAATAAAAATAGCCACACTTAGGTCAAGTTAAAAAAAAATACGTCTCAAATGGTGAGTTAAAAAAAATATCTAACATGTAAGTTTTTAGGGAACAGTAACTTGCATTTGGCTTTATATATATTAATGTTTATTTCATGATTTTACGAGTATTTCTAACCATAGCATGTGACAGTTGAGAGTCCATAGCTCACTATTTGTTTCATGGTATTGTATTATTTCATTGGTGGATTGCTTCTGTTTAATAAAAAATCTATTAACTCCAAGATCCCTAAAAAAAACAGCCCTCTCAAAATATACAACAAACTAATACTCATTAAGAAAAAGAAAAATACACATTCATAGTCATAACTATTCGCTTTGTGACAATAATAGTCACATTTTAAAAAGTACACAGATATAGTCACTTTTTCAAATTTGCTTGATAACTTTAGCCATTTCCGTTACAAACTTTATATCGTCATAAACGCCGTTAATAACCTTTGCGTGTTGCTGAGGTGGATGCCACCTGGACGACACATTATCGCCAACAAAACATCTTCATGCCACCTAAATGCCAAGTCATATTAAAAGTAATTAAAAAATTAATTTTACTAAAATAAAAAAATTTAGAAAGGAAAAAATAATTTTTGTTTTATTTTCTCTTTCTCTCTCTATCCTTTGTCAAGAACCAGTTGATCCCAATAACTCGAGTTGTTGAGAGAGGTTCAATCGTGGATCATATACCACAACATTAACAAGCCCCCTCAAACGAAAACCACTCACAAGGGCTTGAAGTTTGCACAGGTCTGAAGACAAGAATACCATGTGCTTAACAAATGGGAGTCACCGGGAATCGAACACAAGACCTCTTGGTCACAGAAGGCTCTGATACCATGTCAAGAACCAGTTGGTCCCAATAACTCGAGTTGTTGGGAGAAGGTTATGCTGGATCTTATACAGGCCCGTGTATGGTACTTAACCACTTCCTTACATACGTCCCTCCCCCAAATCATTTCCTCATCGGCTGCTTGTTTTCCAAATCCCCCTACGCCTGCTTTTGCGAGGAGCTGGACCGGATACGTCTTCCGCCTTCTTCACCATATCCAAATCCATGACTCCTCCCTTCAAAGCCCTCTCTTTCCTGGACAACAGCCTCGAGGGCGCCGTCCCGTTCCCCTTTCACCCCCACACCTAGGACAGGAAGTTTGGTACCGGTATTTGGGATATACCGAATACCGTACCGAATTTGTCTATATTTGGTATTACCGAATATACGTATTATTTTTTGGATTGGGATTGGAATTCAATTTCAGATGTTATTCAGTATTAGAGATTACGGGATTGGGATCGGTATATACCGAAATACCGAAATATAAGCTAGAATATGTAATAGGAGGCAACAAATCAGAGCTGGCTCAGCAACCAAATATTCAAACTACCCACCCAGTGGTTTTAGTCAAAATTTATCCCACAAATAATGAAGGTGGGGAGAGTTTTAGATGATTTAATTACATTATCCCCTCCCTGCTGCCTTTGCAGTTGGTCATTATTATGATTAAAAACAATCATATTCAGATCTCCTTGTGAAAATGATAGGCCATGCCTTATTCAATACAGCTCACTGCAAGACCAGAGATGCTAAAAGCCACCTAAAAAGCTAAAACTAGGGTGATATTCGGTTAGTCATTTTGCGGTTATACCGATAACCTAATTGATATATGATAGTTAAATGTTATTATCAGTAACCGATTATAAGTTAGCGGTACGGTTATTGGTAGGGTGAAATGACTATCGGTGTAATCGATAAGCGAATAGCCGGTTAATGGTTAACCGAAAAATAATCGAATATAAATTTTTATGTTTCTCTCCTCCAAAACACTATTGAATTTCGAACAAAAAATTGAAAGAGGCAAAAGAGCATCATCGATTTTGTGGTTGAAATTTGACATTAAAATTGGATTGAGAAGATCAGATGACTTATGTAGTTATGTTGGACGAAAGAAAGCAAAAACCACACACCAATTTTGTCCATCTCACACAATTCTCGTTCGTTACTCTTCTCCTTCCTCTCTTGTTTCCTTCTCTCAGTCTCATCAGGAACAAGAAGTCAAGCATAAATCAATTAGGAGAAATTCTACAAAAAAGCCTTATGTTGGTTTGGTTATTTAGGTCTAACCTTGTTGAATCACTTGTTAAACGGTTAGTCGGATAACCGACATAATAATCAATAGTCAAATACACGATTACGATTAACCGGTTATATAAACGGTGCAGTTAACGGTATACAAAAATTACTTAACGATTTGCTGATGATCAAATAAACTATTACTATTATAAATAGAATCGAACCGACTAGCACTGCAATCCTACCTAAAATGTTCTCCATGCTACCAGTGGTTTGCCCCATCCTTTTCTCAAAGTAACTCTTGCTGCAAGAATTCAATCCTCGAAGAAGACACACAACACAAATAGACACAAAAATGAATTCTAAGGGTTAACTTGTTGATTCACTTGGCTAATCAAGGACAACTCGGCTCTGTCTATAAACATAGGAGATATGAACTCTCGAGCCCGCAAAGTAGTTAGTTCTTGAGCTTTAATGTAATAGCATACATTGATTTGCCAGGTCTTGAGATACAATACAATGGATCTTTCTATGGTTTTTGCTGCTTCTCAATAGTTGGCTGGTAATGGGAGATTGTCCAGGAGATTCCACACTGCATGAACTCATGAATATATGGAATAACTTGCATATATATATATATATATCCACTCTCAACAGACTGAAATTGAAAGTCATAGTTATAGTCCCAAAAATTAGTCAAGTTTCAGCAAACTCTTACTACATCAAAACCTCATCAACAAACAACAACGACATACATAGAGCTAACAACAGTTTTCTGCAGAGAAAAAAAAAACCCCTCAAACCCTATCATCACTCTCTGAAACTACATTAGCCGCAAAAGTAGACTAGTTTAACAAATTACTTAAGAGCAGCAGCTTCTTGTTTTCCCCCCTTTCTATTTGTGTTTGGACTGTCTATCTTTTCTATCATCTTTACAAGCTGATTCTCCACCTTGCTGTATACAGAATACTTTGATGCCTTTAATCTACCTTTCATGATCTATATCACGGGGGGGAGATCAGAAGGGAGCCTTTCACCTCCATACATCGATTTCTCTTCCTTCATTGTTCACCTTCTCGGTCCCTCCTTTCGAACTGTCGTGACACTCTGATTTCTCATCCCCTCCTTCCATGCTTTCACCTTCGTTGCTGGACCTAGAGAAACCTCCCATGCTTTCACTTTCCATATTGGACTGTAATACTTTAGGCTTTGGAGTGTCATCCCTGTTGTTGCCTTCATACTTGGGAGTCCACAACCCATTTGCCGGGCCAGCTGAAGGAGTTGTATGCTTTCGGATATGAAGCCTGTATTTCTGCTCAACCAACAAGAAACGAATTCATGTCAAATTGTGTAAAAAAACAGCTCAATCTCAATAACCTGAGTTGTTAAGGGAGGTCCAAGAAGTAATCAATTCATAGGATTCAAATTTGCAGAGACTCATCAAATACCTTATAGTCAAATCAAACTTATAATACTGCAGTTTTACTATGGACAGAGCCTCAAAGGCTTTGATGCTCTGTCGAAAATCACTTGGTCTCTATAACTCATGTTGTTGAGAGATGCTCAGATACAAAATGTATCTAATTCCTCTTGCACCAATCACTCAAAAAAACAAGCATGATAACGTCTTAAGATGCTTAAAAGAAACCATACTTGCAAATGGCTTTTGACTTCATCGTTGGTGAGTCCTTCCACTTGCATCCGCTCTCTAATCTGCTTGGGAGTGGCCACTGCAGCATCACAAAGTGAAACACGAAACCAATCAAGGTTCTGAAAGTAACAGCATCACAATCGATCATAGATACCATTTAAAGCAAACAACAACATCTGATAATGGAAACTGATATATACCATGAGGTCCTCCCAGCTCATCAAGAACATTCATGAAGTGCTTGTGAAGTTCAGGCTCCCAGCACCGCCTTTGCTTCTTGTTGGGCTGAAGCTGTGATGCCTGTGGCTGTGGCTTAGTGCTCTGCACCTTCATTTGCTGAATACTGCCTCGAGTCGGAGCAAGAACCAATTCAGGAGGAGATGGAGTCATAAGAGACAACTCGGTAGCTTGTGAAACAACTTCCTTCTCTTCCTTCCTTCCACATCCAACAGTTGGCTTAAACGCCATGAATGCCCCTCCCCTGGTGGGAAGCTGCTGAATTGGATTCTCACAGGTAGATCGATCATCTTCTTCCTCACTTCTCTGCTGCTCAATTTACAAAAAAAGGAAAAACCCAGATAAATCAAAAGGGGAAGAAAAACATCAGAATTCTCATCTGGGTCCAAATGTGATCATGATAATACAAACCCCCAAAATCCCAAATTGAAAAGCCAGAGTCTTTACACAAGTCTAACCTGTTTTGGTTCTGATATGGAGTCCATCTGGTTGGAATCCCCAGTTTTCCATAGCTGTACAGAATCCATCCAGCTCTTCTTGTTCATCACCTTCCCTTCTTCTTCTCCTATTCCATCTCCTTGACCAGCACCAGCTCGACCATTCAATTCCTTGTAACGCAATGCTTCCTCCTTCAATTTCAGAATCGCTGCAGTCAAACAAGAAGGAACCCATCAACAAAGACAAAGAGATAAGAAGAAAAAAATGAGAAGAACCAACAAAAAAAAACAGCAGAAGAAAGAGGGGGAATAAGATCCTGTTTTACCATCGTTCAAGAGGAGCATGCAGAGAGGGAGCTCTCGGCGGAAGACCTCGATCTTCCGGCGCTCATCTTCCAATCTATTGACGTAATCGTCAAGCTTGGAAAGCTTCTGACCAACATCCTTGACTTTGGCGACCTCCTTCAGACATTCGGCGACTGTTTTGGAGATATGAACCAGACCCAAATCCAAGCTCAGCTCCATTTTCCTCTTTGCTTCTGATCTTTTTTCTCTTCTGGGTCTTTTCTTCTTCAGACGGATTGCTGGTGGAGCATTGAGTGAGAGAGAGAGAAAGAGAGAGAGAGACTGGCCCAGGTCAGGTGAGCAGCGGCGGATGAGATTTTGAGATGGAGAAGAAACCGGTTTTATATTGTGGGAGAAGGAAAAGGAAAGTAAAATTTTCAGATTCAGAGAGAGAGAGAGAGAGAGAGACGCGAAGATTCGGTTTACTCACTTCACCTACGGGTCGTCGCGTATCCGAGTCGACTCGGGTATCGAAACGGTGAGTGGATGGGGACGAGTTGGATATTTGTGTTTATCTTTTTAATTAATTTCATTTTTTCTCCTTATTTCCCGTTTTTGGAATTTGTGGGGAATCTTGTTTTGGGGGTTTCTCCGTACACACGCGGCGAATTGTGCGCATCAGGATGGTTGGTAATAATAGTTTTTCTTAATTTTCTGGATTCGTCCTTTTGTTCCCTTTAATTTTCTTTGATTATATGGCCTTTCGTTGCCTTAAGTTAATGGTAAGAAAAATTTATCAAAAAGTACATTTGTTAAATAAAAAAAAACTATACTTTTTCTTTCGTACCTTCTTTTCTTTGTTTAATTTTCTTCTTTTTTTTTTGTATGAACTTTTCTTTGTTTTCCATTTGTCCGGTTTCATTTCTTAGATTCCACTCTTTTGAAAGAACATTTTTTTTTTTAGAAATCTTTTGAAAATTTTAGATTAACCATGAATAAAGAAAATAATAACAATCTTTAGGAGTGATATAGGTTTTTTTTTAACGAGGTGTTACTTAAAAAATACCAACAATAGACCTCTATATTCAAGATCAATGGTAGGGACGAGATACGAACCAAATAAGGGCAAAAATGATAGTGAAAAATATAACTCGTATTAATTATATTTTTGGAAATTAAAAATTTATACTAATTTTATTTTGGAAATTAAAAATTTGTATTAAAAACATTTTGGAAATTAAAATCTGTACTAATTAATTTTTTTTTAATTCAAACCAAACATTAACTACAATTCTCTTTCTATCTCACTTTTGCTTTTTCAACAGCCTATTTGCCTTTCATCGGCAGAATTCTTCGGACCATATTCCTTTGGCAGAATTAAATAAATTTAAAAAAATCCCAGAATACACCAATTATTAAAAAAAATTACCAAAATACAGTACTTATAAAAGTATTTCCTAAAGTACAGCAGTTTCAACATCACTGTCTTTGTCTAAGACAGTGATGTTGATCACCGTTTTGGTCTAAAACGATGATACATCACCGCTTTTGACAAAAGCAGTGATGTTATCACCGCTTTAAACCAAAGCAGTGATGCCATCACCGCTGTCAAGGACGACAGTGAAGGCAACACCGTTGATGTGGGAGGCAGTGAAGCCTTCACCATTGGATCCAACAGCGGTGAAGTGGCGCGGATCGCTGACGTGGACGCGCGCGGGCACTTCACCGCTGAAGACCAAAGCGGTGATCGCCCCGCTTTCCACGTCAGCGATCCACGCCCCACCCCGCGCCTTCACCGCTGCCGTCGGATGCAGTTATGCGCGGATTGTGGTTTTTCTCCACAATCCGACGCATCAGGAGAGGCCACGTCAGCGATCCTTGACTATCACCGCCTTTGTTGGACGCGGTGATGGCGCTGTGTTTGTTTGGGGCGGTGATAACTGGCCAGGTCTTTCCCACCCCCAAACACTATAAATACCCATCCCCCCCTCATTCCAAACCACACCACCACTTTATACTTCTTTCTCCCTCCATTTTTCACTCTAGTTTCGTTCTAAGTATGCTCTGTGGTTGCGGCTAAGTCCGATCTTCCGCATCAGAAAGAATTACTAGAGTTTTTGTTTTGTTGTTTTGTCGATACTCTCGCTAGCTTTTCGGCAAAAAATGGACGAAGAGGCTTTGAGAGTACGTAAATTTATTTAATTCTTTTGTGCTTTTTTTTTACATGGGTGCTAAAATTTAAATTGATTTGATTTCATATTTTTTTATAGATTGGTGCTGAGATATACGACCCTAGATTGTATATCGATCCTGGCCCAAGGGATCGAAGGTATTTAACCGGGCAAGATCAACATCGCTCTCGTTCAATTTGGAACAATAATCCGGTAGACACACTAAAATTATTTCAATAGTTTGTTTTTATTTTGCTTTCTAAGTTTTTATTTTGCTTTCTATTGACTGACAATATTGTGTTTTTTGTTTTGTAGGAATCACTTATTCCCATCAGTCATCGAGGTACATGTCGATTGCCCCGTTGGCATCCTCGACTGCATCCCTATCTAGAGAGGGCGGGATTGCACAATTTGAGGCACTTTATGAGGCTAGATATTGACAACGATCTGCTGACGGCAATGGCAGAGCGATGTCGCCCTGAGCTGCATACCTTCCACTTTCCCGAGGGTGAAATGACGATCACCCTCAAAGATGTTGTCATCCTCACCGGGCTCCCGATCACCGGAGATGCCATCATCGATAGCTCGAGAAAACCAGAAGATAGTTGGGGGCCATTGATTCAGGAACGTCTGGGGTTCAACATGCCGACCACCACGCCCGTCGAAGGGGTTGGGCATCCACCACTGAATGCGGGGCAAGTATCGATCCCGTGGCTTGTTGACCACATCCAATTGGAGGTTAATATAGGCCCGGATACTCCTGAAGATCAGGTGGAGCGGTATGCACGTGTATACCTAATTGCCTTGGTTGGTGGGTTTCTGTTCCCCGACAAGTCAAATAAGTGGATACAAGGCATGTGGTTCCCTATGCTCCTCGGTGACTGGGACGAGATCGGGAGAAAAAGTTGGGGGTCGGCCGTCTTGGCTGGAATCTACCGAGAGTTGTGTACTTGCTCGAGGTTGGGAGCGAAACAAGCTGGTGGTGCGATGTTCATACTTCAACTCTGGGCATGGGAGCATCTTCCGTTTCTCGCACCTCAAGACCCTCGGGAATTCTGGTTGCCAGATGATGAGCTACGATTTGTAGCAAATCCCCCATATGGTTTCAAGTAAGTTCAATTTAAGTTGAATTTATTTTAGATATGCAATGGTAGCTAGTTAGGTGAATTTAGATTTTAGTGAACTTAGTGAACTTAGTATGCAATTTTAAGTATGCAATTATAGTATTTTAGTGAACTTAGCTATCTTCCAACTAAGCGAATTTGGAGACATTTTAGGTCTGCAATTCTAGTATTTTAGTGAATTTAGATATCTTCCAAGTAAGTGAATTTGGATTTATTCTAACCTAATCGTATTTAGCTAATTTAAAAATTGCTTATATATGTACTTTTGCTTAATTAGGTGGATCGGAGCAAATACTAACGACCACCAGCCCGAGCACTCTTTACTGTTTTATCGTGCTGAATTTGATAAGCCTTGGTGGAACCAGGTAAAAATATTGAATGTCATGATTTTCAATTTATTAGGTGGAGTGGATATAATTTTTACTAATTACGTGAATTATAATGATTGTAGGCGGTATGGGATCCATATCCAAATGAAGTGGTTGAGTTGCATCGTCTTAGACATCCCGAGGATCAAGAGACATGGTTGTGCAAGGTGCCCTTAATCTGCTGGCACATGGTGGAGTGGCACCTGCCCGATCGATCTTTGAGGCAATATCGATTGGAGCAACCAATTCCAGCATCCCCACCTCAAGGGTTCAGGGAGCTCCACGCCATTGACCTACGCTACAACAAAAAGGATTGGACACGCAAGCATGAATTCTACATCAACATATGGGAGAATAGAAATCAGTGGGTGGTCCAAGGGGCGCCGGAGACAAGGCCAATGGGGTACCACGATGGCTACATGCGGTGGTATCGGAACTTCACGCTAAGATGGGTGTCAAAGCAAGGTGTTGTTTGGGGCGCAGTGGTAAGTGAATTCCATTTTGGCCTATTTTAGTTAATTTTTGTAGTATAATTACATGCCTATATTTGCTAGAATGTTAATTAACATTATTAGATTTAATGTTAGTTAATTTTTGGAGTATGATTACATGCCTATATTAGCTAGAATGTTAATTATCTATATTAGAGTTAATTTTAGTTAATTTTTGTAGTATGATTACATGCCTATATTAGATGATAGAAATCATTATTAGATTTACTATTAGTTAATTTTGTACAACAATTTATTAGGTTGACGGTTTGGAGCATGCGAAGCACACCGTCGAGAGTGCACCCACCATGGATGTCCGTATCTTCCTCCTCACTGACTGATCTCAAATTTTCCTCACTTTCATCGTCACTGGAGGCGAATGGATAGCTCGGCGAAGGATGGTCATCGTTAGCAGCATAACCAGCATCGCCTTCTTGGTCATGCGAAGTACGCCCAGTTCGAAGGGTGTTTTCAATGTCACCCCACTCTGGACCCCAAGCAGGCCATTGATCACCGTCGGGCTGAACGATATCGACGGCAGTCTCACCACCATGTGGCAGGTATTCTTCCCACCCAACACCTCCTTCAGAACTACCTCCTCCGTAGTTGCTTGAAGTACCTCCCCAACCATACCCTCCGGCAGAAGAACCTGCTCCGTAGTTACTTGAACTACCACCCCAGCCATACCCTCCTGCAAAACCATCATCATAAGAATACTGGTGAGAATGAGTTTCACCGACCGGCTCGGTCTCGACATACACCTCTGCAAGCCGCACCCCGTTCTCAGATATGAACTGTGTCATCATGTTCGCGTCGTCATCATCATTTATGTCAACTCTTTCGTACATGACTCCGTCAGCACTCATGTTGGGATACCGGTAAGTAATTTGACGAACTCTCATTTGCCCGCCCATACAAGTCCTTTCTGCACACTTGTCATGGAGTTCTTGCCACGAGAATCTCGACTCAATTGTAAGCATACTGGATTCGCCATCTTCATAGTCGATCCCAATGTTCGAGTTTGTCACCCGACCATTCCAATAAATAATAAGCCGAAACTTCTTAAATTTACCCATGTCTGCAATTTATAATAATTAAGTATAGTATATAATTAGTACATTATGGATACAAAAACAATATCATCCAAAGCGATAATAAAATGCAACTAATTGATCTATTATGAGAAAACTAAACAAATTCATCTAAATTCATAACTAGCTAACTAACATCTATCATATCATAATTAAACTAAATAATATCATAACATATTTTCCAATAACCGCAATTCACTAAATACAGACAGTATAATTACTAACACATCAACATGTAAAAAATACATACTTATAACATACTCAATCCCGATCTATCATGATAACTAAACAAATTAATCTAAATTCAGTACTAACTAACATATATCATATCATAATTAATCTAAATATATAATTCTAACATACCTAATTCTAGCACATAATCAAAATGTAAACAATACATAATTCTAACATACCGAATCCCGACGAATTTCTTGAGCAGTAAACTACGGAGGAACCAGCTGCGAAAACGACTTAACAAAACGATAATTTTTGTACTAATTTTCTGTTTGGCAGCAGGAGGGAAGAGGGGGCGTTGGTTTTTATAGGAAAAATTGGGAGCTAATCACCGCTTTTGGACCAAGGCGGTGAACCCATCATCGCCTTAGTCAACAGCGGTGATGGCTAGGTAGCTGTTACCTACCTCTCCACCTACCAGGGCTGTGTAAAACGTGGGGGCAATCACTGTTGTGAACAGCAGCGGTGATGCCTTCACTGTTGATGTCCAAAGCGGGGATACGTTCCCCGCCTTTGTCAAAAGCGGGGATACAATCTCCGCCTTGGACAAAAGCGGGGAACGTATCACCGCTTTTGACAACAGCGATGATGCGTTCCCCGCTTTCGTCCAAGGCGGTGATGCGTACCCCGCTGCTTCACTGCTTTGGACAAAAGCGGTGATCAATATCACTGTCTTTGTCTAAGACAGTGATGTTGAAACTGCTGTATTTTGGGAATTACTTTTATAAGTACTGTATTTAGGGAATTTTTTTTAATAACTCGCGTATTCTGGAATTTTTTCCCCCTCTAACCACCTAAAAAACAAGTACCATGAAAATCATCACAACGGTATGAAAACCATTACCACTATACCAATACACTAAAACATGTATCACTACATAAAACATGTACCATTACACTAAAAATTGTACCACTATACTAATATGAGTACCTCTACACCATACTAAAATAAGTACCACTGCACTAAAACATTTATCATTACGCCAAAAAAATGAACCATTGCAATAAAATAAATATCATTGGACCAAACAAAAATAGGTGTCACCACACTAAAACATGTACCAGTGTACTAAAGAGTAAAAACCAATGTTGTCAGAACCAAACCTGAGCATGACCCGATAATATGAACGACTCGCACTTTAGTGGTCTAATCGATATTCGGTCGTTTAAAAACCGTTAGAGAACCGATACCTTATAAATAACAATATCATAAGTAGAAGACACATAAGGTAATAATTTAACAATTTAATGACTAGAATAAAATTTACCAGGGACCAGTTAGTAATATTACATTAAGTTATTAACTAAAATACCCTAACCAAGCGACATAACCCCACCCCACCCACCATAAGTTGTCGCGCCGCTCACCTTTTTCTCCCCCTCTCTCTCAAACTCGATTTCTTTTCTGGTTATTTCCCCAGCAGATTGACCTTTCATTAGACATTCATTTCTTGCAACTGTTGGTGCGAATTCCCCCTTTGGAGTTTGGCCTTCACCGTCTTCTTCACGGACTCATTGTCACCCGGGGAGAGCTCGCCGGCAGGAGCTCGCCAAATCGACGGGACGAAGAGACTGGGTCGTCGCTGGGTTGTTCTCGGCTTCTCTCCAAATCGATGAGCGTGGAGTGGCGAGGGGAAGCGGCGCTGTGCAGTGGCGACGAGGAGCGCGAACTGGCAATGGTGGCAGGCGTCGGAAGCGGCGCTCTCTTTGTCTGTTCAGTTTGCACGAGAGATGAAGACGAGAATGAACTGAATTAGGATTTTTTTTATTTTTTTAATTAAAAACAAACCGGTCAAAAATGGAAAAACTGGGCGATCGGCTTGAGCGTACCGAGCGGTTAATCGCCTCTGCCGCTCGCCGACCGCCCCAAAAACCCGTTTCGTCTAAATGGCTGTGCCGAGCCGGTTTCGTGGCCGGGTGCCGGTTTTACCGGTCAGACCGACCGGCTCGGCTTTGATAACACCGGTAAAAACGGTACCACTATACTAAAATGAGTACCATTACTTCAAACTAAAATCGATACCACTGCACTAAAACATGTAGGGGTGAACAAATATACCCGCAAACCGACCCACACGTCCAAACCAACCCAATCCACCCGTATTTATCGCTAAAACAAAGATTTTGGATTGGGTGAGAGTTTTGTTTTGTACAACCCGCCTCTTTTGGGTTGGGTTTGGATTTTGGATTACACAACCCGTAGAACCCGACCCAACCCGTGTCCCAACTATTAGTATGAGTTCGTATCTAAAAAATATTTATGTCGTATATAGCCATACTTATGAGAAATTTAAGATATTTTGCCATGTTTTTCTCTCATGGTCTCCCTAATCTAATGCATTATTCGACTTAAAGTTTAGACATTAATTGAATATAGTTATGATCATTTTTCTTGTGTACAATTTTAATAGAATAACATATTGTGGGTGTGTTTGTTTATAACCTTTTTAGCCTATTTCAATAAATATCGTGAAAAAAACTAGACATATTTTGAAGTAAATCACATTTTATTAAAATTCAAACAACATTTGTGAATTTTGATACCTTTCATCACGGTTTATTCGTTTGAAATTTTAATTAGTTATAAAATATTTTTATGATGTAGAATAATTATATATTTTATGTTGGGTTGGGTTTTTACTTAAAAATATCGCCAACCCGACCCAACCCAATTAGAAACAAACCGTAGGGTTTAAATTTTTTTAGGTGGGTTTGGGTTTGATATTTTCCAAACCGTAGTGCATGGGTTGGGTTATTAAAATGGCTAAACCCGGACCACCCGACCCATGTACACCCCTAAAAACATGTGTCACTAGACTAAAAACTGTACCACTAGTGACTAGACTAACAACGGTACCACTGCACAAGAAAACCATAAAGCTTCAAAAAGATAAGGGCAATGTCTATTTTTTACCCAAACCTTTCCAAAATTCTTTTATTTTACCCAAACCTATAGAAATTCCATTTATTATCCAAACGTATTGTATCTGTTCATAGTCTGGGCATTCGTTCTGTTATCGTTAATTTTTTACTAACGAATCTCCATGTCAGCGGCCACGTCAGCGGCCATATCAGAAATTAATAAAATAAATAATTATTAAATAAATAAGCCCATTCTCCCCACTGTACTCCACCGTTCCCCTGCAAATCCACTCGATTTCCAGGC